AACAAGATTAGGTTAGGATAAGATAAGATAAGGTTGGATAAGGTTTGGATAAGATAAGGTTGTTTGGATAATGTTCCATGTTTGTTGCTCTTTCCTTATCTTCTTTATCTTGAACTTGTTTCTCCATATTTGTAGCATGTTCCTAGCCTCTTTTGACTTCAAATTCGTCCATCCACCTTGCTCCATATGCAAGCTATCCATTTCAAGCCCAAAAATGCTCCAAATTGCTCCAAAATGCACTTTCTTGCCTCTTTTGCCATTTAAACCTACAAACACACGAAAATAACTTAAATCACTATAATAAATAGAAACTAACCATGTAAATGCAAGAAAACAAGCTAAATAAATCGCATAAATATGCTCCTATCAGTACGTGGTTTACCAATGATTGTGGTTGTCACATCCTTCCTCGGCCCGGGACGAATCACTTCCCAGGCCCGCTCCACCACCGTAGCACGATATTGTCCTCTTTGGGCTTACCATTCCCTCACGATTTTGTTTTTGGGAACTCACGAGCAACTTCCCAGTGGGTCACCCATCATGGGATTACTTTAGCCCTCTTCTCGCTTAACTTCAGAGTTCTTACCGAACCCGAAGCCAGTGAGCTCCCAAAAGGTTTCGTGCTAGGTAGGGATGAGAATATACATATAAGGATCACTCCCCTGGGCGATGTGGGATGTCACAGTGGTTATTATGCTAGTATTTATCTAGCCAATGGTAGATGTGGTTTGAGATTCTGGTATTTATTTAGCCGATAAGAATTATGGCTTGATGTTTGATATTATTTTTGCCAATGTGTATGGCTAGAAATTCTGATATTTATTCTGCCAATGAATGTGGCTGGGAATCTGAGAATGTGGGTGAGAATCACAATTATTAATCGTTGGTTGCTTATTTTTGGAGACTGAATAAAATTGTAGACTGAGATTATGATTTTATTCACCATTAAAGGAATCGTGGGAATAGTTCTAATTCCTTTTCATAACTCGATGTTTGAAATCTCGGGGACGAGATTTATTTTAACGAGGGGTGAATGTAATACCCTAAAAATTTAAATATATGACTTAGATATTCATAATTATGTGGAGAAATCCGAAAATCAATCGATTTATGGTTATGAAAATTTAATCGAGAAATTTTAAAATTTTGTTATGGGAAATTATTATAATTTATGTCATAAAATTTATCGATAAGTGGAAAAGACGAAAATGGCCCTATTGTATTAAACAGGATTCTTCGTGGACATATTTGATCATTTCATGATTTTTCAAATTTCTTTACATATTTGGGTAGTACTCGTCGATTCGAACGCGTGGGTGCAAACATAATGTAATTTCGAGTTATAATGAATAAATTAGAGACGTTTTAGTTGAAAAAAAAAAAAAAAAGAAGCTGCCGGATGGCAGCAAGAGAGAGGGGAAAAGAGAGAGTTACGGGAGAGAAAAGGAGAAGGGAGGGCCAACCAAGAAGGGAGGAAAGGAGGGGAAAGGAGGGAGAAGAGAAATAGGGAACTGGCTTCCCTTTTGACCCGCTAACCCGACCTGGCCGTATCTCCCTCATCCGACTTCCATTTTGGGTGATCTTGGTGTCCATGGAAAGCTCTCGGCGAGCCCAACGTCATTGTGGTGTTAGATTTTTAAATTTCTAACCCAATTTTACAAATCGAAGCCACAAAGTTCCGGTTTGTCCGGTGGATTTCACCCTTTTTCGGTGATTCCGACAACGATTACCGTTGATCCCCACCACCAATAGACTCCCCTCAATCCCAGGAGAAAGGCCCAAGCATTGGTTGTATGTCAGAGTTTGTTTTGGCGTTGAATCAAGAACACCCATTTCTAGGGTTTCCGATGGTGCAGGCCAATTTCAGGTGCTTCCCAGCCGAATTGGACTTTGGCCTAGGTATGAAAGTTGTTCCCCTTTGTTGTGTTCTACAAGTCTGTAAAATTTGGTAATTTTTGGAGTTCGTCAGAAAATTGGGTTTTTGTTCGCTAGAAACCGCCACCTACAGCAACGCATGGCCAATGGGCCGATACTGCCCTTTTATGCAGATTTCGATATTCTAAATTTGTTTTTGGGTATCCATTTGATGTGTTTCAATTGCTAAGTGTGATATTGAATATTTCCTCCACTTGAATATTTTAGGAAATGGATTAAAAATGAAAGGTGAACTACGAATGGCTTAATCCCTATTGATGGTATGTAGGCAGTCTAATAAGAAGTTAGATGTAGCCATAAAATAATTGAGATTAATCTTTAATTAAAAATTTGTCTAAGTAAAGAAATTGGGTGGTTAGTTTAAAAATACATCTTAGGGTTTAATTTCTTTGGGCCTACCATAGTAATTATGTTCCGAATTAAGAAATTGGATCATCACATAATGGTTTTAAACAAACCCCTCAACCTTCATAGTATGCATGGATTGATTGGCCATAGTTCCATTAAAAGCATATTCACTTAACTCCATATTGTGCAATTGAGGAATCATTTCATCTTCATACACAGAGATATCATCATCCACCTCTACCACATCCATCATTAACAACTGCTTACAGTAGCACTTATGTCCTCTCACCCATTTTTCATCATAGAAACAACACTCACCTCTCTTTCTCTCTCTCTCTCTCTCTCTCTTACTCTCTTTATCTCTTTCTTTGCACTTCATCAGGAGACAACTTCTTCATAAGTAGAGTAGTTTTTATTTTGGTGTTTTGGAAATTGGTTTGAAAAGTAGGGGCAAGCTTAGCTTTCTGACTTAACCCAGAGGTACCAGATTTGAGCTCTCTAAGCTTAGCATCTATTTGCATAGCAATAGCTATAGCATCATGGACAGTAGAGGATTTCAATAATTTCACATCATACTTCAAATCATGCTTTAAACCTCCCAAAAAACAACTCTTAAGTAAAATTGGTCCAACATCAGAAGATCTGTTGGCTTGTGAAATTCCATGATTATTTCACTGTGCATGTTGGGCGTAGTTTGAACAAAGCCTCAGTGCTATCTTCAAACATAGAAAGCCCAAACTCCTGACAGAAAGCATTGGTGAATTCCTCCCAACGAGGCGTGCTCTGCAAACAATCACTCCATCGAAACTACTGCAAGGCTTCATGCTCCAAATGAAAAGAAACCGTGAGCACTTTCTGGTAATTTGGTGTGTCATAATATCAAAAGTACTGCCCCGCTTTATAGATCCATGCCACAGGCTCATCACCATCAAAGAAATGAGGGAAACCTAATATGTGGTACCATTGCAGATTGTTTGGTTGAACTCCAGGATCACAGATCTCGCAACCTAGATCTTGATTGGAGCCATTTCAAAGTCTTAGGATGTTGATGACCAATATTATGTGGATCTGAATCATCCGTTGGAGGAACCAACTCCGACGAGGAACTCCATCCCCCCTTAAAATTGAGCTCATGCCGGAATTGAGGGACCATTTCCATGGAAGATTCGAGTGTAGCAAGATAACTGTCCATGCCTGTGAAACGAGTCGTGGTTGTGTGGCGGGGCATACATGAAGGGAAATTAGGAATCAAAGGATGATACCAATGATAGGATCCAAGATCCAATTCCTGATTCAACCTTAAGTAGAAGCAAGATTAGGGGTGGGTTCAGTTTCATTCGGTTCGATTCGATTTTCTCTCGTTTTTTCGGTTTGGTTTTTTTTTTTCCTGTTTGGTTTTATTCAGTTTGGTTTTGATTTTTTTTTATTTAATAAAACTTGGTCTTTTTTAATATGGAATTTAGAAAACAGGCTTGGATTGGTAGACTAATAATAATAAAATGGGGAAAGTGGGAAAGTAGTTGTATATATACAATCCTATTCTATTAACAACCTCAATTGCAAAGAAAATGATCACCATATCCATTCCAAAAGCAAACAAATAGAGAAGCTCTTCCAAGTTCCGAAGTCATCCAAAACATTCCTCTATAACCAACGAAATATCCTCCCTAATTGAACCAAGTATGTTCCTTGAAAAGGCCCTAGGTTTAGTTTCAAACTTGGCAACAAAGTTTCACAAAAGAAACATCATTGGCATAAATTCATAAAGTGTAAAGGGATTCGGTTTGATTTGGTTTGATTCGGTTTTCCAAACCTCTAAAACCGAAACCAAACCAATAAAGTTCAGTTCAGTTCGGTTTTTCCTTTTTCGATTGAAATTTTTTTTTTTTTTTTTTTTTTTTTTTCCGGTTTTGATTTAGTGTTCGGTCCCCTTTTTTTTTTGGTTTTCAGTTTTTTGAACCCACGCCTAAGCAAGTTCATAGATGAGGGATGAGAGGAAGGAAGAAGAAGATGGAGCTGAGCTCCTAATTCCGGAATATTATTTTTTTACTAAAATGAGTGTTGCATTTCCCACTAACTGTAAGAGCACTTATAAAACTCGGGTGTACATTTTCTGCCCGCTAGCAATTCCTAACAACCTTAACTAATCACCTATTAGGTCCTGATTAATCCCACACTAAGTGATTAAGCTAATCACTCATTACAATCATATCATGCGGCGAAACGATGAATTGGAATCAAGGAAGTCATGAATTCGGATGGTGATTGAGTTTAGTTTGAAATCTGACTTAAAAAATGAAGAAAAAGAATACAAAATGTCAAGTGACATTGTTATGTTTGAAAAGGGAACACGTACCAAAAGATTGGCTGCGTTGTAATATGCGGCACGCAACGCAACCCATCATTTGGATAGAGAGCATATATGAGTGTGTGGGATCCAAATTGGAGTGGGGACAGAAACTTGTGGTCCGCTGATGAAAGGCATGTCAAGCATCAGGGCCCCTCAATTTCATGCCAGGAGAAAATGTGTGGAAACTTTCCCCGCTAGGCCAGTTTTGACAAATATAACTGATTAGGATAACCCCCAAATGAAAAATAACGCTTGTGATTAACACCACCACCACCACCACCACCACCAAAGCTTAAGTGAGGTCGGCTATATGTATCCTAGAACACTTCTGATTAACAAAAGTTAAATATTCTTGTAGCTCATGCAGTTACCAGGCTTCAAATGCGATTGATGAAAGAAAATACAACACTGCAAATTATAATGCCTCCTAAATTGTTGTTAGAAAGGAATCATCTTCATCGTGTATAATAATCACTATACATGGTCTATAAATCTTGTATCTAAAGTTAAAACAAATTTCTTCAGTTAATGTTATTCACCAATGAAGAATTTCTCTGATGAGAACATTTGCCCTTCAAGTTAAATCAGGCTATAGTTTCCATTCAGTTAAAATTTCTGTGGTTTTTGCTTTTTTTTCCCGTCTTCCAGTGACTAATTTTGTGGGTTCAGTATGCAATTCAAAGAATGAAAGAACCTGCAGCTTGATACGCTTACAAAGAACACGAATCTGCATGATAAACCAACCTTGATGCTGCCAAGGGATCATATTCATTCATTTTTGAACAAGCTTGATGGAACCTGAAAGGAGAATATTATCGCAACTTTCAGAAAACAGAGCACAGATATCTCAATAGTTTCAAATCTAATAGTTAGTCTCAAGGGTGAAATCTAGCCTCTACATATGAAGAAAGGATTGGCTCAAGGAATCAACAAAAGATATCCAAAATATCCAATCTTATTGAAATGAAGACAAGAATATCAAAACCTACAAAGAAAAGATATGTTCTATATATTGAGAAATCAGCCAGATTACGTTAATCTCCCACCACCCCCGTGCTGTTATATTAAGTTTAGGTGTTTAATGTGAGAACGCATTTGAGATAAACCGACGAAGTCCAGATGAGCTCCCAGCAGTAGGCAAGTACAATACTAAGAATTGATTTTCTACAAAATTTGGTTTGAAACTTGAAAAGGGAGACCACAAATAGAGTGGTAACATGAGCAAATGGTGGGTTATAAAATATGAAAGTTGGAACAAGCATTTGCCGTAAAAATACTTGTACAGTGATTCAAATTTTATCGCATCTATGATATATATCAATCCAGCATAATATGGAATTTCTGGGTCTCTGACCCATTTTTCTTTTCTATTAGATCAAAATTTGAAAAAACTATAGTGGCTGATTGCACTACAACAGAAATGAATGGGAAGTTTCTGAAACTGTATCTACTAAGTTCATCTGGAGGCATCTCACCGAGGAGCGTGGTTTTTTAACAGATACTACAGTTTTTATTTTATAATCCAGTATTATTTGAAAATTTAGTGTCAGGCATACCTTCACATGATGTGGCATAATCTTAATATCGAAGGGCACATGGAGCCATGCTTCAGGTGGATAGAGCAAAAAATTCTCTGGCTTACTGGTATAGACATCTGCATACTGATGAATGTTATAGGCAAAAGCAGATTCCTGACCTTTATCCGTAAGAAATGTGGCTCCAAAGGACCTATTAAACATTCTTTTCATCTTGTGACTTGCCTCCTGCCTCCATTCATTTAACTCCTCCAACAGTGATATGTAAGCTTCCCTCTTCTGAGTAAAAGCAACAGTAGCGTGCAATCTACCAAGCAATTCTTGTACTATATGAAATTTCGCCTGTGCCCAGAAAGAAGTTTCAGAAGCATGAAAATTACCTGACAACTTTGAATAGCAGGAACCCTTCTTATGAGCTTTAGAGGATAAGGTAATGTACATTTGATCACCATATGTGAGCACTGTGCGTTGTCAATCCAAAGTAGTTGGGTGTACAAACATCAAGAATAAAAATAGCAACACCAACGAAAAACAAAAAATAAAAAATAAATAAACAAAATGAGAAAGATTATCAGAAAATACCTGTTCCAAGCGGTAAGTATCCCTGTTTTGAATAAGTATTTCATCCTGCCAAAAACAGAACATATCAATGGAAAAACAATCCACAAAATGGTTCAGACTTTCAAACTGAAATGTCCAGAAAAGCAAAACAAAGGAATTCGCATGATCCTTTTTACCCATTGACATGGATACACAAAACATTGACTAATTTAGATGTTAAGTTTGAATCAAGTAATTAAGAACCAACACCCATAAGTATAAAATTTTTCCCTTTTAATTGAACCGAAGTCTATTAACAATCAGGTCTGATTTTGAAGAAGAAACAAATTTTCATTGCAAAGTAAAAATACAAGAGCGGACAAGAAGTCCGCAAAAGCACAAACAAAACAGGATAATTAGCAACATCACCATGACACTTGGAAACTCTGAAAACAACACAATACTAACTAATAGCAGCATTCTAATTACGCCAAATTTCTGAAAAAGACAAACAACAACAAAGTCTTTTCCCACTAAGTGGGGTTGGCTATTAAATTTCTGAAAAATACAAATCTTTAAATTCTGTAGTAACCGATGCCCACAGAGATGACCATAACCAAAGTTAATCCCAAAGATTCTCCCTTCTACTGACTTCGTAGTCCTAAAAAATCAGCTTGTCTCTTTCCATCCAAATGACCCTAAATAGCTGAAACTATTCATCCCCATGAGACCTTGATTTTCCTCCCTTTACTGATAATTTATGTTTCTCTACCATAAAAGAATAACAATCCCCGGGTAAAACCCAACTGATACCAAACTCCCCAAACCGAGAATCGTCACGTGTCTCAACAGTCCAGGCTGACTGTTGAACTGTAGCTTTAGCTGGCCTTGCCGGAGAAATGTGTCTGATCACCCTCTGCAAATTCCGATCACGATTGTCAAACCTTCGCTAAGGCTCAGAATTCTGAAGTCCACCACAATGGGATACCAGAAATTTAGTCTTCTTGCTGCCGGGAGTTTGTCTGATTTTAACTCTAAAAGTGGTGTTTCCATCAACAACATTAACAAACTCTAGAATAAAACCAGTGCTTCAAGCAAATACTCAAATTTTGCAGTTCTATGATCAACTTCCACCAGACCATCGCAAGCATCACCAATCTTCTGAAACCAATTGTTAGTCCAGAGATGCGGCAGCAATCCCTCAACAGCAATCCAACTACCGTAACTAACCGCCTTTTGATCGCCTGATTTGAGGCTTTGCCACCAGCCAGACAACATCACATCTGGATAGTCACTAATGGAAAAGGAGCCCAGTTCTGCAATCTTCTTTGCTTCCTCAGAATTCTGGCAAACAAACAGAGCTTTATGGCATTGAAAAGGAGACAAACGAATCTCCCTCCCTAGCAGGTTTAGAAGTGATTTCTCCACCTTTTTTCAGGGCTAATGCACCACTTGTCTCTTGCAAACGATTACACACACCAATTATAATTTTCCAGAGAAGTGTCTCTCTTATTCCAGATATTCTCAACCCACAATTTCTCTTTCACGTTCAAATTCCTTTAAGCTCGAGCTCTGTATGAAAACTGAGGGACAACTCTCGACTTCCTTCTCTGTGTTTCATTTGACACCCTCAAAAAATTCCATCTGCCTCACTTTTGGAAAGAACTAAGAAGACCCCATTCTTGTTAGAAACTTTCCATCCAAAACTGATAATTGTGACTTCTGTACTGTCTGAAAAACCTATGACCTCTTGCTTGTATCGCTGCCTTCAACTGGATAATCAGCCATGAAGCACAACCCAAGTCAAAAGAAATCTGGTAACCCTTGAGTCTGTTCCTTTCTGTTAATCTCACCCTTTCACCAAAGGATTCATCTTCCACTTGTACAATAACAACCTTTTGTTTAACCTTGAAATCTCTAGATAAGTGTCTATAACTCACTCTCCCAACAAAGACCTTGCTTTGGGTCGCTCTCTCTCACCTCTCTCTGTCTCATCTCTCACTCTCTCAGATTTGCGGCAGACTTCAGCAGACTTCACTTTGATTCTCTTCTAATTCTCGTCCATTCCACCTGCTCACTAGTTATTGTCTTTGTTTAGAACTCTTGATTTTTTTAGTAAATGGTGAACTCTCTCTCTCTCATACACACAAGTATTAACGATCAGACCTGTATGCAGAAATATCCCCATGTTTAAAAAATACTATATATGCTACACCCACTTTTGAATCTTAGCCTCGGACTCTCAAACAACAACCTTATATCCATGCCAGAAATTAAAACAATGCATTTCACAACACTTAGAATGGTATTGGTTAATGAACACCAGTACCTCCAAAATTCAAAGTAATAGAAAAGAAAAAAAGGTCTAACTTCTTTGTCCTTTGTTAAACAGAAGCTTGTGGTAGCAATTGGTAAACCACTCCATGACTACACATATCAAAATGAAAGTAAAGAAAAACTGTTTATTGTTTATTTTTCTTATTATTGGGTAGGGAAGGGGTGGAGAGAAAAGGTTGGCCAGCTGCTCAACTGAAAATAATCAAGTTTCTCCTTCTACAGGAACAAAAAGGAAGTCTGATTTATGGATATAGCGATAAGTGATAACCCGAGCAGTTATGAGCCAATAAAATTCAAAAAGTATTTATATTCATCTCACCTAACCTATCATTTAATCTGTAGCAATTTAGAGCCACTATTTTGAAATTTTTGAACCTGTAAAGTTTTCTTAGTTTTTCTTGTTATCTTTTCAATCCACTAGTGTAACAAGTAAACGAAATTAGTTCTAAAGCATTGTTCCTTGTATCAGCTATTAAGCACACCAGAGAGAATAAGAAACCATAGAGGACCTTTTTAAATAAGAAAAGTATCCTGGAATATACAGAACAGTCATAAGTATAACTGCATAAGAAAAGACATACTTCTAGCTCATGAATTATAGCAGCAGTGCGCCAGCCAGCTTTTGCAGGCCCCCTAAGGTCGCTAAATAGGTGGTCTCCAAAGTACATCACCTATCAAAGGGGGCGTTAGTTTAAATTTTTAAAGAATAAACCAGAAAGTTATCTACCATGATATACTAATAGATAATGACATGCAAAATCATGAGTTATAAGCAATAACTTTGAAAAAAAAATACATGAATAGAAGTACCTCTGGTCCCTTCCACTTGGTAATATGAAGGAAGGATTTAAGGCATCCATGGTAATATATTTTATTAGGAAGAAATTCGTTCACCTTCTTGAAAGCTAAATTATCCTTCTCCGTGTCATAGAAACTGCATTGAAGTTCCAGAAAACAAGGTGCAAGATAAAAGAACAAAAGATGATAGCTTAGCTCTTTCTAGGGTAACTAAGATATTAAAACTCAAGTAAAAAGGACAACAAAGAAATAAAATCACAACACAAGAGGGTGAAGAAAGTATTTGTCACAGAATTAGCATTTCCATGGTGCACAACATACGGTACAGGAATCCCACGTCTTTGAAGCTAAACTTTATAAAATGGGGATAGACAAAGTGTTGAAGATACAAACCGGAATGGATGCTCAGATGTGTAGAAATCAGGCTTATTGGCTTTAGCAATCACAACATCAAAAAGTTCCCTCCAGGAGTCTCTGTATTCCTTAGAATCCTAAGAACATGTCACAATCAACTCAGTAAACTTAATATTGATAGCTCACAAACTTACAGATAACCAAAAGATCAAGCTAACCTAGACAGACACACATGACGCATGCATGCACACACACAAGCTCTCTTAAGTTAGCACCCATTTTACAGAACCAACCACTAAATCTAATCTTTATTCATGCACATCTTACACACAGATTTTCAAATTAACTGGATATACAAAGATACATTCCCAATCTCATAATAGTTCAATGATGAGAGGGAATATCTACACATATCCAGTTGATTCCAAAATTGGTCTCAATAAATAGAAAGGCTGCATATGTACAAGATCATAAATTAGTAATTACTCATCACAGGGTAAGATGCTACAAGTGGTAGTGGTAGAATTTTGAGTTAGTTGACTAACCTCCAACATAAAGGTCATTCCTCCGTCCACAAAGTAATATGGTGAGTTAGTCAGCAAGAATAGTTTCTTTCCCTTCTCCCTGAGCATCTTGAGAAAGTGTAACAGTTGTCCCTAAGAAATAGTAAGATCAAACTAGAAACTTAGAGATGCTACAGTGGTTTTACCTCGTATATGCAGCCAGAAGTATTAGGATGGGTTGAACACCTCATCTTTCCACAATATACTCATAAAATGTGGCATGGCTTACATTTTTTACTAGATATCTATGGGGGTCAGAAAGAATTCCTCGATGAACCAAGCCACTGCGATGAACATGCTGAATTGCACGATTTACATCTTGATAGATGTAGCAAGCATCAAATTCCAGCTTAGCATCAACAAAATATTGCACGATATCTGAAATGAGGCATGCCTGCATAGTAACAATTGAAACAAACATCGATGGGTTAGAAGGAAAACAAATTATTCAGATAATTGCTAAAAAGAATGATAGTTTTCAAATAGGAATGTTCTCTTGGTCACTGGTGACCAAAGAATGGATGGTCACTCAAACTTGGATTTGATATTAAGGGTGGAGAATAGATTAGTGTTTCAGTCTCAACTCTTGATATCAAATCCAAGGGTGGGTAAGCATGAATCCTTAGACACCAGGAGAACGTGACTCGGTTTTCAAAACAGGGAATATCTGTAAAAAGGAAGATGAGAGTATAGACCACTTATTTCTTCACAGCTTTGGAAGCTAATGTATTGCTGGAAATATCTGAATTGAGCATAACATGCATGTGCAAAAAGTATTTTGCATTTGGAGGGGGTAAAAGAGAAAACTATTGTGGACGTGTTGTGTGACGTCGTTGCCTGGGTGTTACAGATGGAAAGGAATGAACAAATTTTCAAGATTATGGGGAGGTAGGAACTGGAGGTATGTAGGACAGAATGCAATAGGCCATCATTGTGGGCTTCAATTCTGTAAGCATTTAGGGATATGTCATTCTTTCTATCATGCAGATTGAAATATGGTGGTATTTTAATTTTTCTATGTGATTAACTCAACTGTTACGAATATATTGCAGTTTTATCGGCAGGTTTGGTTCAGGATTCTGCACGCCTTATGGGGACTGACAGCTTGTCCACTAAATTTGTTCTTCTAATATCAATGTTCATACCAAAAAGAAGAATAAAGTGATAAGTTCCCTGTCCTAACTCAACTCCTTTCACCTGGCATACCAAATGTCTGTCTATATGGGCCAAAGAAATTACTAATATTAATACAGTTTACCCACAAAACTTACCAAATCCCCAAAATTTGTTCTTTCAGAAGATGCCTATAGGAGATGTCTATTTGTAAAAATGTTTTAGTGGACGAATGTTAATATCAGCCCATACATGCATGAATCTCATAAAAAAAAATTGCATAACTAACCTCGCTAAAGCAAAAGAAATCCATCAACCCAACAAGTCCCTGGGCCTGATCACGACCAATATGTCGTGTGCCATATATTTCTTCAATTTCCTTCCTGCTAAGCTGAATTTCATTTCCAAAAAGAGAAGAAAAAAAAAATCTATAAACAGATTATGAGTATCGAAATCTATTAGTCTATAAGTTCATGGAGCAATGAAATAATAATTTTGTCAAATTTTCACAAGGACAAAAGCCTAAACTCTAATTTGTACTTTCCACATAAACATAACCAGTGTCCAATCATTCATTATTCATATAACATGACAACAAAGTAGATTGTACTATTTGGACAGAAGAAAAGTACTTTTCCTTAAGCATTGGATACTCATTCAGATTTATTGTGACAGCCAATGTTGTTTGTTAATATCATTAAAATTCTCACATCTGAGTTCTTTTTCCTTTTCCATATGTGGGAGCCAACGAAAATGTAGCTCGTAACCTAGGGCCTAGGCAGATGTATGAAGAAAATACCTCCATAAAAAAGCTTTGAGTTCTGGAAAGCAATAGACTATAATCAGAACATATAAGTTAATATATTTAGTTCTTAAGTACCTTACGACGACCATAGTAGCATCCATCTGGTTCAATTGACCCAAAAAAATCCAGCTTCAATAGGCACCCTTTTAGCTTATCATAATACAATCCTCTAATGGGAAAAGTCGAATCATACTTAAATTCCATGCAAACCTCAGGGTACCGAAACTGACAAATCACAAACGATCATATCTAATTACACAGAGTTTACATGTAAACCATAGCCCCATGATATTATATCAACATTGCTTAAAGGGAGTAAACTAACCTCATTTACCATATGCTCCTTTGCCATATCATATATCAAGCTCTGTAAATTGTCAGAATAATGTGCCAGCGTGTAATCATAGTCGAATCCATAAACTTGAATATTGTCCATTCTCAGGTTTTTATTTACATATATCCCTAATTTCAATACATTACATTAATCAATATTACAATTGACATGAGTAATGAAGCTTCAACCGAGTAACAAGAGTGCACCGTCAAACCTTTCGGATTCATTTTAGGCATTGCTTTAAGTGCGGCTGGAATCTTGAGGAAACTCTGCTTTGCAGCATCAAATTCACGTCGAATCTGTGCTATCTCATCATTAAGAACTGAAGTATCAGCTTCGGGTAAATTGCTCGGAAGAGTTTGCTCGGAAGCAATTGCTCCATAGCTTCGAAAACCTATATTCAAGTAAATTGAAACAAAAAATTAGTTTCAACAGCCGTAAAGATCAATATACATTTTCAACAAGCATTTTATTTGAGGCACTTCAATGCAATTGATATTCTGTAAAAATATCGGATAAACATTGTTGCACGTATAAATATAATTATTATATATATATATATGTGTATATATATATATATATCAGAGAGGACGAGAGAGAACCTTGCAGAGCTCCAGAACCAGAAGATGGGAAGCTCATCCTCTGCAACAAAACAGAAACAACAAATAAGATTGGAAGTTATAAGTACGAAAATATGTGCACAGAGAGAGAGAGAGAGATATATATATATATATATATATATATATATACACACATATATATACGTTGATGGAAGAGCAGAGAGGAAGCAGCCTACGAACGCAGGCCATGGGAAGGGAAAGAAAGAGGGGTTTTAGCTCTGCAGCAGCATTCGGAGGCTAGGGTTTTCTCTTTGAACTGTAATTTGTAATTTGTAATTTGTAGGGGAAAATGGAATCGAATTGAAGGGCGAGGAGGATGCCGAGATTGTAATGAACGGGATGAAATTACAACAGGCATGCGAAAAACGAGGATTGCCAGTCAGTAGCCGCCATTTTAACATTGACTTTCAGGTACAAACATTGACTTTCTGTGTTACTTTTTAATTTTTACAAATTTGATTTTGTTCTTGAAATATTATAAAACTCAAATTTTAATTTCTAAATTTACCCTAATTTTCTTTAATCCTTAGGGCAAATGTGAGTTAAAACTCAAAACTTATTTCTAGGCCAAATTTTAAAATTTAAATTATTTAAAGATAATAAGTAAGGTGTTGAGTATTACTATCGCTTGAGGGTAGTGACGGTGAGTAAAAATGTACTCTTTTGTTTTACTATAAATGATATTCTACACTAATTTTACTAAAGAGATGGAACCCATTAATACATCAAAAATATTACTCTTACCATCTATTTGTATTATCATTTGTATCATATTTTTAATAAAGATAGAATCTACATGCGTTGGCGAATTACTCTTAACACATTAGGTTGAAGAAAAAAAAAACCCTAAAGAATCCCTATTGGACATGGAGTTCTAATCCAAGTACATCTCTAGTTCGGCCATGAGGGGGTTCACTGCTATAAATAGAGAAGTGACTGCATCATTCAAAACACTTTCAAATCAACACACAAATTGCCATGCGTAAAGCTTCTCAACAACCTTTGAGATTTTATCTTGTTTCCCCTTTCTTCTTGCCAACACATCTTCAATTTAGATAAACAACACTATGAAGGCAACGGGCGACATTTTCAGTTTAGATAGACAGCACTGGAGCCGTAGAATCAACTGACCGATGAGCACCTTCAGTTTGGATAGACAGCACTGCTTCGAGGTCGACTGGTTATTTATCCAAGTCTCAATTGACAAGGATTTTTTAGTCTTTATTCGTAGAGGTCATCTTATCAGCTTTTTTGGTGAAGTGAGGTGTTACAGGTTACTAAGCCTACGCCCCGCGTAGGCTTGGTAGTTTTTAGGGTCAACATTTTGGCATGCCCATTGGGACCCAGTGCTAAAACTAAAAAGTTCATGACCATTGAAACATGTTCAGTAAAAAAGAAAACAGTTATAAGTAAGTCAATGACTAATCTTCCATTTACAATCCAAAGCCTAGGACATGATGGCTTGTCACAGGCACAGAATCCTCCTGCTGTTGTAACACCTGAAGTCACAGGTACAACACGCCGAGAAAAGGAAATTAATGTCGGCAGTCAAACTCGCGATGCAGAAATCCCCACCAAAATGACAAAAGGCATTTTTGTTGAAGGGCTAGTGGAGGATTGTGACGAGGATGGTGATAAGGCCTTTGATCCACCATCTAGATCTTTTCTCTAGTGACGATTTGAAGAGCAATCCCGACAGTTTAAGCAAATGTTCAGCCGAGAGGTAAAAAGCATACTTGGAGAGATGCATGATAATAGCGTCGTGCACAACAGATTGCTCAAGGTTTTTGTTAATAAAGTCCATGACGTTGGACCTGCTGATTGAGCTAGGCAACCTCTTTTAAAGAATAACCCCTTGCCAGCGGTACAGGCCGAGACAGGATCCACTTGGCTCAAAATGATTGACTTAGAGAAAAGTTGTGGATCAAGCAATGGATCGAACAGAATGATAGGAGCATATTTATGCTACTTAGTTATGTTGTTTCCTTGCATTTAGTTAGCTACTTACTACTTATTATAGTGTTTTAAGCTATTTTCGTGTGATTGTAGGTCTTAATGGCAAAGTTGGCAAGAAAGTGCATTTTGGAGCCATTTGGAGCAGTTTTGGGCATCAATTGGATAACTTGTGAGTGGAGCAAGATGGCTGGACGAATTTGAAGACCAAAGGTGTCTAGGAATGTGCTAAAGAGTGGGAGAAGCAAAATTGGAAGTTTTGAAGATAAGGAATCAGCTACAAAGAAGGAACCTTATCCTATATTATCCAAAACATTATCCAAACAACCTTATCCTATCTTATCCTAACCTAACCTTGTTTTACCTTATTTCTAGCTGCAAGGGGACCTAAATACTTGATTTCTAGAAGCCTTATCTGCTCCTAAAAATGTGCCGCACCCTTCCCCTTTATCTCTTCTAGAAGTACCAAAATCTGCCACAAAATACAAAGTTTCTAAAAGCCCTAATTTCTGGCAAATTTCCCTAACCTTTTTCCTCTTGGATTCTGAATTGAATTGGCCTTATTCCTTGTGGATTTGGATTTTGCAAAGCCTTTTCATAAATTAGTTAGGTTTTGACCCTTTTCTTAGGGCCCAAGCCTTGTGCCGCACCCTAGTCCTTCTCCCACCTAATTTCTACCAAACCTTAGACCTAAATTCTGATTTCCCTAGAGTTTTGTCGTGCATCATACATATATATACATTTGTGCTACCCCAAATAGGGGGGGAGAACTTAAAGAGAATCAAAAAATTCAATTTGTGCTGCAGCAAGGAGAAAGAAGGAAGAGAGAAGCCTTTGTGCCGTGCCTATGCCCAAGCTTTTGGGAGTGTTGGAGCGTCTCTGGGGTGTCTTCTATCCTTGTTTTAGTTTTACAATTATGTTGATTTCATTGTTAATTTCTACAATCATGTGGAACTAATTTTCTTATAGTTGGAGGAGAATTCGAAGCCATGATTATATGTTTTATATGAATTGATTACATCCAGTTATTGTCTCTTAAGTCTTGAATGTGATTTGCTTATCTGAGTTATCAAAACTTGTTTATGTATGTTGGTTGAGGGTCAACACTTAATTTGCATGCATGAATTTGATGTTAGAGTATAAGGGAATTTCACCTAATCGTTATTTGCTTATATTCACAAGTAGTAGAGGTTGCTAGTCACAGTCATGTTAAGTGAATCCTTAGCATGAGTCTCATGTGTTTCATACTGATGAATGCCTTGTCAATGCTTATGATTTTCATAGAACTTCATGACTTTTGATATGTATCTTTATTATGCGGTTCATATAGAGAACTTGAGAAAGATAATTTGCTTGCGATGCGTATTCCATCCCATTCAATGAGTTAAGGAAAATCTGAAAGTTAATTTATGCTTTTCATGGTTAATTTGGGGCATTGTCATTCATAGTCTAAAGGAATAATAACTGGAAATTGGTTTGTGTGCATATTGCATGTGTGGAGATGAACCCTCTAACTAGTCTTTCACCCATTCAATTCACCCAAATTCGTTTTTACAAAGTGTTTTTTTGCAAAGTTTCTATTTTAAGTTTTAAATTCGTCAAAAACATATCCTGTGACATCCCGTCCTGAAATTTTCGAAAATGTACGCGTGAAAAGACGGTTTTGCCCTAGTTCGATTCTGTTATGTTTTGGGTTGTTTTGTTTGTGTGTTGGCATGTTCTGGGCCACACACTCACACCCTCACTCTCCCTATTCCTCTGTCCCTTTCCCTGCTCTCTGTCCCGAGTCTCGCTCCCCCTTCTCATTCACAATACGTACGGACACACACACAACCACACTATACACCCACAGATCGAGAGAACTAAAGCTATATTCGAGCTCGTGAGGTCAAGGGGAGCACGATCGTACCAGTTTCAGGTAGGAACTTCGACGTTTTCACATCGATTTCACAAGGTCCGATTTGAGTACTATTCATGTGAACGTAAATTCTTACGTTTTTGAGTTTTTGAAGCTCGTAGGTGGTTTGGTGAGGTCCCAAGGAGCCTCGGAGTACTTCGTTTGAAGAGTTTTGACGTCGGGATCACCGTGGTCGGAGTTGGCCGGTTTTGGTTAGTTTGCACAGGTAATTTCTGGTGGTTTTTTACCCTTAAAACTAGTATATCGTTATTCTCCTAGTTCTAGGCGTCATTTTGGTTCAAGAATCGTGAAAAATGGTTGAAAAATGAGTGAGAAAACACGAATTGCAGGTTTCCCAGTTTCCGGCGCCGGCGACGTCGCCGGAGAAGGTGACGGAATATTCCGTCAATTCTAACGGAATATTCCTGACGCCGTTAACGGAATCTATCAAAACTGACGGAATATTCCTAACGGCGTCAGTTGACGCCGTCTGTGTGCACCGCACGTGCATGCGCGTGGCCGGCGCGTGGGGGCGCGTGCGGCGGTGAAAAATTTTTCTAAAAATTCTGGTGTGTCCCTAAGGTTGTGTAGAGCACGTTGGTATATTCATTCGTCCATTTTGAGCAATGTATGAGAAGTTATTACGAGAAGGAAGGTTATGTGCTTTAAAATTAACGTTTTTATAGTATTTTCGCATATAGGTGAAACGTATCCCGAGGACGAGCGTGGTCACTCGAGGCAGGGGGGCTACGACCCTTCCATATACCAGTGAGTGGGCTTTTGTTTTCCGTATATACCTATATACTTATAATTCCCAGAAATTTATGTATATGTTTATTAGTTTATGCCATTCCTTTATTATTATTGGTTATTATGCATGGTTAGTTGCATATATGGTTATTATATATATATATATATATATATATATATATTCATTTATACATATATATATATATATATACATTGGTGCTGTGGAGGCACAAGTAAGTTCCAGGTAAGCGTTATTTAATATTCGCAATAAATAGTGGTTAGAGGTGCTTAGAGAGCTCATAACCTGCACCCCCAGTGTTAGTGCTCCCGCCCTGAGTAGGGCACAGTCCTTCACGTGTCGTTCACCTCCCGCACCACACGCTCAGCTTGGATCTGATAGGAGCATATTCATGCGACTTAAATGGCTTGTTCTCGTGCATTTACGTTATGTTTCTTTAGTCATTTTAGTCCTTTATGCTTCTTTTGTGTGTTTTCAGGTTCTAAGGGCTTAGGAAGCAAGAAAGTGCATTTTGAGGCTATTTGGAGCATTTTTGGGCATGGATTGGATAGCTTATCCATGGAGCCAAGAGGATGGACGAATTTGAAGGCCTTGTATGCTCTTTGGGACATAAAACAAAGGGCCTAGCCCAATCAAACAAACCTTTGAGCCATGCAAAACCTTTAGCCCAATCAAACAATGCATCATAAACCCAAAACCATCAAGAAACCATCCATGCCGTGCCTTCCACATCAATTCCAGCTTGTCTTCATCATTGCAGCCACTTTGCCCTTTTATTTATGCATTAAACCTATTTCCTTTCCCT